AGAGGTGCACAGCCGTTCCGGGCTCCAAAAATAGAAAAAGAAATATAGAAAATGTTGAAAAAGAGACATTTACGGCTATCTAAAAGTGCTATAGACATGCAATATCGTATGTCCGGCCCAACTATGGTGGGTCTGAGGCAGAGGTAGTACCATTGGGTGACATCAACAATTTAAAAAAACAATTTGCCTATTCAAACAACGTTATTTTGATTGCTAATCCGTAATATTGTGTTGTAAAAGCACATTTTAGACTATAGTATGTCCCCGTTGAACCCTACCAAGAATTTCTTATTCTGGGCCGTTGACAGAGGCTGTAGTCGGCCCGTTGGTTCCCAGCCTTCCATCAGCGATTTTGCCGCCCTTGTCTGCAATTTCTGGCGTCACCGCTGGTCTGAGTAGTTTGGAGCCTCTATCTGTAAAATTGACTTTCTGGCCACCTCTATTTCGGATTTCTGGATCCGCCACTGGTTCCATAGTGAGGGGGAGGAGGGGTATTATTAGTAATTCTGTTAGTGTTACTGGGCTGTGTGGTGATAGGTGAAGGGGGAATACTTTAGTAATTATATTATAATAATAGGTTTGTCTGTATGCATTGTATTATAATATTTACAGTATATCATTCTCATGGTGTCACTTTTAAGTCTGGTCTCTGTTTAACTAATTTCAATGCACGAGAGATTTGAATGTAATTTTCATATATCTTACATTGCCATAGTCTACTACCTCCCCCGTCCATATTCGTAAATATGTGATCCAAGTGAGGCTTTTACAGTTGCGACCACCATTTTGCCAAACACATTAGCTTTCGATAGGATTTTAATTTTTCGATTTTTTTGTTTTTGTTTTGTTTTATCTTCATGTAGGTTCCAGTGATGGCGAAGTTTTGGCGTAAATTGGATGAAGGAGGGATTCTTCCAGAACCGTTAGTGCGCTATTTGTGGAAAAATGAACTTACTGCCACTGAAGATGAGGATGACGTCATCTTTGAAGACTTCATCGAACTTATGAAGGCATTTGGACTTCTCTTTGAAAAGGTGTGGTCTATTGCTAGGTTATTGTAACAACAGAAAACCATGTCCTTTTCTCAAACTATGTGAAAAACTTTCGTAAGGTGCAAAACATTATTTCGTATAATCGAGACTCGAGGCTGTTAATTTTTGCTCATACGGAAATCCTATTATGTAATTTCATTTTATATTTGTTCAGAGAGAATACAATGGGTTTGTAGAATTCAATTCATCATGTCCATTCCCCACACACCCGCACCCACAATTTAATTATTTCAAATGCAATGTATTTTTCATTTAAAAATAAAGAATGCATCAGAAGAGGACGGTCGACTATTTGTCGTCCCTTCTCGGATGAAGACCGAGCCTGATAATAGATTGGAGATTAAGAAAGACGAGGAGCAAACCGTATCCATCTATGTGACGCCTAAAGACTTTCTCCCCGACGCCATCTACGATGTCTTGGTCGTTAGATTTGTGAACTTGAGTCAGGAGAGAGGTTGTTTTGATGATCCTGAGTTATTTCAGAATAAATCTGAAATAGTATTTGATGATGAGCATTACCTAAGGCTAGGACGAATATTCATTGGTAGCAAACAGTGTCTAAAGGTAAATATGCCTCTTGGTTTTAAAATGCATATATTTCTTTATTTTTCTGTTAATTATTTATTAATTATAATAACACCATTTCAATTTTCATGAATATGCTTTAATCAGAATTATATCTCTCGTAATCTGCAGTTTTTCCTTCAATTTTTTAAAGCTTGAAATATCGCGAATGAAAGACGCAGACGATGCAGACAAGCCAATATGTAAGCCGCATCCTACCATCTGTAAGGAGGTAATGACGTCATTGAATGCTTTTTTAGTTATCTATGATTA